AACTTGAGATCATTGTAAACTTGTATTTCGGAGCAACGGTAGGAGACCCCTATCACCGCTCATCGTATACGTATACAGAACCATCGGCCAAGGTTGCGAGAATGATGCCCAAAAGGCATTATTTCTCAGGGCTACATTCGGAGACCCCGGGTGTATGTCGTTAAATTGAATATTTTGTATCTCAGTGGTTTGATAAAATCTTTTATAAAGTTTTTATCTAACTTATATCTATGTAGTTTCATATATGGAAATCCATTCTGTGAAAGTGAGATATTGATTTTCGTAAATATTATATTTTTACGAGACTCCGTCCTATACTGTTTTGTACCACTCAACAAATATGCTGAGCGTACAGTATTTTTGGTTTTTACTGTGCGTAGGTGATGTAGCTGGAACAAGTGGAAGTGCAGGACATGGCAATTAAATCTGTTTTGATAAATACGGTTATGTGTTTATTTATTTGCTTGAATAAAAAGTTTGTATTTTATTTTATGACGTTATGTTCACAAACATATTGTGTATTAAACTCGTTTCCGCTGTTTTTAATAAACATTTATATGATGTTTTTTATAAGAAATTAGTATATTTCCTCTTAACTCTCTAATTTGGAATAGTCTACGAGACTGTTCAAGCTAGAGTGTTACATTTTGGTATCAGAGCAAAAGTTTTTAAAATGATCTTCTGACCTGATATTTTAATAAATATAACTATGTTTAAAAAAAATCATATTTACAATTTTTTTATGTGTATATATTAGCACTCTAAAAAAAACTACTTTAGTGACAAACAATTTTGAATGGTATATTTACATACACATAAGTATGCATGTTTTCAAAAAAAAAAGTTGGAGCAGATTTTAGAGTAAAATCATTTCTATGATTCATAAAAAAAAAATCAAATGTATTTTACTCTTTTATTTAATGTAAAAATATAGCATTTTAAGGCCTTGTTTTTTTTTTGGAATATTGTTTCTTTAAAAAAAAAATTGTTTAATACCTTATTTTGATGGATGGGTTTTTAAAACATTGTGTTCAAAAGTTTTAAAACAGTCTTTTAACTTGCTATTTTGATATATAGGAGTATTTAAAAAAAATCAAACTTGCCAAAGTTTTATTTGTTTTATATACCTATGCATATTAGTGTTTTTACTTCAAAAAAAAAGTACAAATATGTATTTTTCTTTTTACTTGCAGTAAAAACAAAAATTACAAATTATTTTTTCTTTTCCGTAACAACTTGATTCTATAAAAAAAGTAGAGTAAATTTTATTTCTACTTATTATTTGAAAGAAAATGGATGACAAATATGTTTTCCTTTTTGTTTTAACTTACAAAAAGTTAAAAAAAAGACAGTGACATTTGATTTTGCCATAATATTTGTTTTTTAAAAAAAAAATTGATTATTTATTTAATTGTTTTACCATATTCTATAAACCAATTTACTTTAAAATTTGGTGATCAAAAGTTTACAAACATTTTTGTACATTTTTTTTAAAAAATATAGTAAAACGAAAGAAAGCCATGTTCCACTCCACGACGTCCGCTCACATCGATCAAGGAAAATTTTGAGGTAAGAAGATAGTTAGTAATTTCATAACTCTTGATTTATCCTAGAATGGAAGCTTTGAACAACCAACCTCATGTGTCCGGGGATTCCGAGGCATCAAACATTGGAAACTTTTTTGGTGGAAACCCAGGAAATAATAATAACAATCTCAACGCTAACAATGAGAATATCGTTGGAAATAACGTAATCAATCAAGTGGCGGGATTTCTCCACCAGCTTGCTACACAAGTCCGTCCAGAAGGTTGGAATTTAGATCGTCTCAAGAAGAATGGTGCTTGGGTATACAAGGGAGGAGAATCGGGACCTCCAGAAGTCGCAGAGCACTGGATCGAACAGACAAAACGTGTTTTTGAAGATAACCTCATTCAAGAAGGAGAATGGACTCGACTGGCCATATCTCTACTGCAAAATGAAGCATATGATTGGTGGAAAGTTGAAAAGACCAAAGAAGGACTGCCTGAACCCCTAACTTGGGTAGCATTTGAGAAAGCTTTTTCTGACCATTACATACCTCCTTACTATCGTGACACAAAAAGAAAAGAATTTCAAAATCTGAAACGTAAAGGGATGTCTGTGGAAGCTTACAAAACAAAATTTGTTAAGCTATCTAATTATGCTAAGGATTTAATCACTGATGAGGAGAAACGATGTGAGTTCTTCATCGACGGGCTAGATGAAGAATTCCAAAAGAGTCTCAACGGGACTGTACATCGGAACTTCAATGAGCTCATCAAAGCAACAATGCGTATTGATTCGATCGGAAAGAAAACCTTTGATCAAGGGGAAGCATCATCAAAGAAGAACAACTCCAATACAAAGAATGTTGGTTGGGGAAAATATGGTCCCAAACAACAACAATACTTCAACAATAAAAAGAAGACGGAAACTCTGGTTGAGAGGCTTGAATGCCCTACATGTAATCGTCGTCACAATGGGGAATGTTGGTTTCTAACTGGAGCATGTATGCGCTGTGGTCAGAAAGGTCACATCTCAAAGAACTGTCCCAAACGTACTGACAAGGCGAAAGCACCGATTCAGAATAACAACAACAACCGCCCACCTCCAAGACAAGCTCCACCAGTGCAAGGAAACAATGGCAACAACAACAATCGAGTTCCGGCAAGAACATATGCAATGCAAGGGAGGGAAGATCAACAGAACCGTAATGTTATTATCGGTATGTTCACTATATTCGATAATGACCTATGTGCTTTAGTTGATCCTGGATCTACACATTCTTATATTTGTGTGAATCAACCTTTTACGAAGATGTTGAACAAAAGTTAGCTAGATAATCCGATACTAGTTTCAAACCCCTTAGGCCACAGTATAACCCTAAGAGAGGTATATCACAATTGCCCACTAGCAGTAAAAGGGAAAACCTTTCACGCGGACTTAATTGAACTTCCATACAAAGAATTTGATTTGATTCTTGGGATGGATTGGCTTTCCAATCACAAAGCTATTGTGGATTGTCATAATAAAGTATTGACGCTCCAAACTGAGGATG